CTATACTTTCCAACAAATCCTTCTATTGTATAACCAAAATTTCTACTTATACGTTATGGTACAAGTTTAAGTTGTGTCTACACTTTCTAGAGTTTTACCTATACACTATGTTACAACTTAAAGTTGAACCTACACTTTCCCAAAAATCCCTCTATGGTACAACCTAAACTTGTACATATACAATGGTACAACTTTAAGTTGTACCTGCGCTTTCTAACAAATCCCTCTATGATACAACTCAAAATTGTACCTATACTTAATGGTACAACTTTATGTTGTACCTACACTTTCTAATAAATCCTTTTGTGGTACAACATAAACTTGTACCTCTACGTTATGGTACAAGTTTAATTTGTACCAATACTTTCTAGAGTTGTACCTATACACTATGGTACAACTTAAAGTTGTACTACACTTTCCCAAAAATCCCTCTATGGTACAACCCAAACCTGTACCTTTAAGTCATTATACAACTATAAGTTATACCTACACTTTCGAACACATCCCTCTATGGTACAACCCAAACTTCTACCTATACGCTATGGTACAAAGTTATACCTACACTTTCCATCAAATCCCTCTATGTTACAACTCAAACTTGTATCTTCCCGCTATGGTACAACTTAAAGTTGTAGCTACACTTTCAAAAAAATCTCTTTATAATACAACCTAAAATTTTACCTATACGTCTTGTACAATTTTAGGTCAAATTTTGAGTTGTACCTACACTTTTGAAACAAATTACTCAACGGTACAACCCAAACTTGTATCTACACGATATGGTACAACTGTTATTTGTACCTACACTTTCAATTATTGATTCATTATTTATAAGATTTTCATTAATGATGTAGGACCGATTACTTAGTGGATTCTGTCAGAAACACATTCTTTTGGGGTTATTTGTCGTTAATTATTATTTGGAATACTTGATGTTATATTGGGTATTGCGAGAACTATTGGTTGTTGTTCGGTTAGGTTAATTATTCGGGTAGCTAGAGGGAATTATTCGGATTATATATATATAGGAGAAGGTTAGAGGTCAAGCAATAACACAATAATTATTCCCTAAGTCTACTTCTCTCTCTCAACCCTATCCTCTTCTTGCCGTCGGCCATCCCTCCCCAGGAACTGACTTCTGCTTCTCTCTCACCTAAATTCTAGTTCTTCCTCATCCAAATTCCCAATTCTCATATCGATCCCAAACCCTAAATCGCACACCTAGATTCGTGTTCTTTTAGTGGTATCAGAGCCTAGCTGGTGTGCCAATTTATTGAAGAGTGCTAGAACCCTGAAGATGACAAACCATACGGACAAGCCACAGCAGCAGCGACAGGGCAAGGAGGTCATCACGGTGAAAGACGTAACAAACAAGTATGATGTGATCGTCACAATGGTGGAAAACCTAACCAAGTCTGACTCGCACTAAACTACACCATAAATTAATCCCGACTAGAGCCCAAGTTTTTAAACTCTAGTCGGGTGCAGTATAGAGGAAGTATTTAAATTGTCAACCCGGGCCGTTCCATGTACCCCTACTTCAATCGCTTAAGTTGTTATCTAGTAAGAAACTTTAGGGTTTAGGTTTATTGGAACTACAAACTAACCAAGCAAAGAAAGGTAAATAAAGGAAAATTCTAACTAAGGGAGCTTCACCCAGGACTTGCTTCCCCCTAACTAGCTACCGTGAATCGTTGGATTGAATGGAGTCGTGTGGCATAGGTGGTTGTGAACCGAGGGTGGTGAGCAACTAGTGATCAATCTGTCATGGCATCAATTCACTAGCGATTGATTTGTCACGGGATCGATCCACTCACCAAGTCTAGGGCAACCACTAGGAGGAGCAACTAGTGATCCATTTATCACAAGATGGATTCACTGGAGGTCGATTTGTCACGGGATCGATCCTCTCGCTCGGTCACTAGTGGTTGCCTAGGTATCTCCCTCAAACCGGAGTTTGAGCGGCTTAATCACAACTAACCTAGATGCAAACTGGTAACCGCGAACAACAGAGGGATGCATATGTGGTCGGAGACCACAATCTCAATTGCTAAACCGAGGTAAGCATGAAAGGCCGTGTCACTCGACCCTCTCGGTTTAGAAAATCGGTAGTTGACTTACTCCCTCACTCAACTCTAAGATCGGACGGCTTAATCGCGATTAACCGACTTGCTTAACTCAATATTGAGGGTTGCCCTAACTTAACCTAGTTTAGGTGGCTTACAAAGCGGAAGGAAAACCAACTCGATTGAGTCTCCCTTGGAAGGGGGATTTTCCTCTCTAAGCTAGGGTAAGGTGGCTAATTAGATTGCTAGCACCAACATGCACAAACCTAAGGGTGCGAAGCATAATTATGCACAACCCTTAGATTGCTAAGCACGAGCATGCACAATCACCATGAAAACACCTCTAATACTCAAATTAATGCAAACCCACACTTAATCATTCAATCTAAACAAGTAATTACAAAGTATTAGTTAGAGATCTACAACACCCAAGAGAAAAGAGTGAGTTTCTAGAGAGAGAGAGAGGGATTACAAATTTGAGCTCAAGATCTTCTTCTCCTCCTTCTAGGCTTGAATCTTCCACCCAAGCCTCCAATGATGCTCCAAGATCACTCTAGCACTCACTCTCTCTCTCTCACTAGAACTCTCCTTTAGTGTTTAGGTTGAAACCCTAGAGAAAGAAAGTGTTTCTTCTCCAAAAAAACCAGCTCTCCTTTCTCTCTCCCCACTGCTGTCTTCATATTTGCCCAAAAGCGATCAGTTGACGGACGCGTTGGCCAGTTCACGGTCGTGAACACCTAAACGCGTCCGTGAACTCAGCGTCGTCCAAAAGGCGCCGCTTCACTCACCTGGGTTCACGGTCAATGGCCCCAGTTCATGGTCTTAGAGACCGTGAACTGTCTTATCATCAGTAACATCACAAACCTCGTTGGACTGCTCGATGTTCACGGTTTGTGGTCCATGTTCACGGTCTTAGGAGACCGTGAACTGCCTTATGCGGCCGCGAACTTCGGTTGTTTCCTGGGACGCCTTCGCTTCACTACTAATGGGCAATTGTCAAGGTACTTCGGTCTTTTCTTCGGTTTTTGCGCTTTTCGACCTCCAAATATCCCAAAACTCGTCCTCGACTCTTCCACTCGTGCTAGCACCTGCAATGTATCAAAACAAGCACAACCTAGCGTGAAATATGTCGAGGAACGATGAAATACTAAGCTAAACGAATAAGAAATGAGGAGTAAAATGTGTACATTTGGGCCTGAATCAGAGTCCATCGAGAGGGCAACCGCAGCATCACGGGGCTCGGTCGGCGCCATCGAAGCATTGTCGTCGGCCATCCCTCCCCGGGAACCGACCTCTGCTTCTCTCTCACCTAAATCCTAGTTCTTCCTCATCCAAATCCTCAAATCTCATGTCGATCCCAAACCCTAAATCGCACACCTAGATCCGTGTTCTTTCAAATTCCTCCCCAACATATAACTTTTTTGGGATTTCCTACGGTACCTTGAAGTAAGCTAACTTAGATTTTTTTACCTGCTATAGCAGGTTTCACAGGTGACATTACGTAAAATACAATAGATATTATGTAATGATTACTTAAGGTATGGTGATCTTATGTAACATTCATAAAAGGTTATTACGGAAACCTTACATAATGGACGGTTATTTTACGTAATGAATACCAACATTGCATTACGTAAAGTGTAAAGTCATTACGGAAGTCTTACGTAACACATCCAATTTAACTGTTACGTAAGAAATAATTGTCGTCCGTAGCTTTACGTAATGGAAGCTCCTTTTACGTAATGAGTATTAAGCTCGTGTTACGTAAAGTGCTAAGTCATTACGGAAGCCTTACGTAATGCTTGTGATTTAACTGTTACGTAAGAAATAACTATCAATTCATAAACTTTACGTAATAAAAGTGTATTTTACGTTAAAGTTGTAAAATGTCATTACGAAAACCTTACGTAATGAAATGTTCCTTCACGTAATGAGTATTAACCACGTCTTACGTAAAGTGCTAAGTCATTACGGAAGCCTTACGTAGCGCTTCTATTTTAACTGTTACGTAAGAAATAGTTATCATTACGTAACCTTTACGTATATTTTACGTTATAATTGTACAATGTAATTACTGAGGTCTTACGTAATTGGCAGTCCTTTAACGTATTGAATATTAATCTTGCATTACGTAAAGTGTTAAGTTATTACGAAAGTCTTACGTAATGCTTATGGTTTAACTGTTACGTAAGAAATAACTATGTTCCGTAATCATTACGTAATAGGTATAAAGTAAAATAATTAAAAAATAAAAAATAAAAACAAGACAAATGAAATAGAAAAGGGAAGAAATTTAATGACTTTTCCCGTGAGATTAAAAGAAACTCGGCACCGCCGGTTCCTGTTATTATTATTTTTTTTTTTTTTTGTTCTTTAATTTTCCTTTTTAATCTATGGTTTAAAGTGATTAGAATATATTTTAACGGCTCAGATTTAATTAAATTACCTAACTTAAAATTATATCCGAGTCCTCCGCAAGGATGAGGCGACGACGCTGCGACTCCTCCTCAATTACGGCGGGCGGGTCATCATTGGAAAGCTGGGCCGATTTCGGCTGCACTGATGTCCTCCGCTTGGGGTGAGCCGCCGTAACACCGACATGGGGTTCAGGAACCTTACTCCCAGCTGCTTCGACCGACCACTCCCCAGACGGAGTTTGGGAAGGCGGTTGATCACAAAGCCCTGCGGGCTGCCTCGAGAAGTTTGCGCCATCCCTGAACCTTCCCTCTGGTGTGCCACCGGACCACCTACAGGCATCTGCTCCACAAAGCCTTGCACGGGAGCAGGGTGCGCCATCTTTGCCGAGGGCTGGGCGTGATTACGAATCCCCACACCTGGATCCTCTCTTCCCACCACCGAATGGTGACGATGCTGGCGATTTACACACACCGATCGCCTAGACCCCCCAAAGGGAAGGGTCTCACCATCATCCTCTTAGATCTTCCGCCCCACCTTCTTAGTTGACATGCGCGGGCCGAAGCGCTCCTTGCCAAGCGGAGGATCAAAAGCACAATCACGGCGAGCATGGCCAACTCGGCCACAATGGAAACAAAAACTCGGCAGGAACTCATACTTTAGGCTAACCCAAAAATTATCGATTTCGTCACTGGCCGCCAATAACTGCGATCGGAGAGGCTTGGCGAAGTCAATAACAGTATTGACTTTTATAAAATGCTCCCCGGTCTCCATGCACTCGAAGACCCCGGAGTCCAGAACTGGACCAGCCACTGCGGCCACCATCTTCTGCCCAAAAAGTTTGGTGCAACAGTCGTCCTTGACGCCCCACAACTGGATTCGAAATGGAGCCTTCGACATCTCATCAAAGGTCCCTTTGGGAATAACAGGAGCCTATGGTCGAAGGATCAGCAGCCTATCCTTGATGATCCATGGATTCCGCGAAAGCGCCCAGTTTTTCGCCTCCTTGTTAAGCAAAACGATCTCAAAGAGACCATGCTTAGTTCGCATAACCTTCAGCTGCCCACGGATCTTCCAGGCATCCAGCAATCCCTCTCGTAGTTCCACAGTGGTGATTTGATCATTAGTAAACAGCCAACCAAGCAGGGTTCGAGAAGCTCTGAACCGTGTTGACTGCACCTCCTCCAAGGAGAATTGTACAACCTGATCTTCTGTTACGTAAGCAATCGTACTCAACGCCTGAGCAGCTCCGATTCGTCCAATTCAAATTATATGAGCATTTTTAATCCTACCCATACCCATTCAAATTTCTGACTCGTCCACAATTCAAAGTTGACCACTTATTGCTCATCCCTAGTCCCTACTGTATGCAGCCTCAACTGGCTTATTCGATACCCATCCCTTGGACTTCCTGGTTTTGTTTGGCCTAAATGTCCTCCCAAACATTACTAAAATGTCTTAGTAGCAAGGACAACCTACTGTAGGAAACCCGATTCCGGGTTAGGAGGGAGAGGGCCGGTCGGCCAAAGAGGGGGAGGGAAGGAGTGGCAAACTTGTTATTTTGTGCTATTTCGGTTTACACTACTTAAGGACGCATTTCATTAGTTTTGGGGAATTAAGCAATAATAAACAGAAACTATCAAATCCCTAATCTCTATTCTCTCTCTTGTTCTTCCCCAATTCTCCAAATCCCTAATTTCTGCTCTTCTCAATCCCTAATATCCCAATTGGGAATTCTTGTGTTCTACATCTGGTATCAGAGCCCCGATCTTCGATGAGTTCTTCCAAACTCTCGGACCTGTCATGGGCAGATTTGAGAAACCGGGCACGCAACATCGGGCGAAGGTGGCTGCCCGCCGAACAAGAGGCCGCGCGCATCGACCCGACGGCCCCCGCCGCCGTGCGCCTGCCCCCGCCGGCCTCCCCAGCGCCGCGCGCTGCCGCCCCAACCGCGTCGCCGGCCTGCTCCTCGCCGAGCGCCGCCGCCGCGCCCCCGACGCCCCGACCAGCAGCGACTGCCGCGACCACCCCCGTCGCGCGAGGCGCGCCCCAACCCTGCCTCTCGCTGCACTCGATGGCAGGCTGGGCCTCCCCGGGGACTCTCCATTTCCGCGCACGAATCGAGGATCGTTTGGCCATCACTCTGGTCGACAGTGGCGCGTCCTTGAACTTTGTAGGCGAGGAATTCGCCAAGCAACTGCAACAGGTGGCCGAGGCCACTGATTCCATGGTGGTGAAGGTGGCGAATGGCTCTACACTGAGCTGTGGAGGAGTACTACGAGGTATATTTTTGGAAATTCAGGGTCTGCCTATATGCACTGATCTGTATATACTGCCAATCAAGGGATTCGATATTATTTTGGGGATTCCATGGCTACAGAGCTTGGGTCCTGTGACTAGTGATTGGCGTAGGTTGACCATGCGTTTCAAATGGAGGGATAAGGATTGGCAGCTGCAGGGCCTCACTACCGTGGCTGGTCCGATCGCGATTGAGGACTGTGGTCCGGAGGGCGAGGCCGATTTGGCCATTCTGTGTTGGCCGATCGAGGAAGGGGCGCCGCCGGTGCTCCATCCGGAGCTCCAGGGGCTGCTTGGCCATTACTCGGATTTATTCGAGACTCCCACTGTCTTACCTCCTCACCGACTGGTTGATCATCAGATTCAGTTGAAAGAGGGAGTGGAGGCGGTGAATGTGAGACCGTACAGATATGGGCATTCGCAGAAGGAGGAGATTGAGCGACAGGTCTCTGAGATGCTGCTCACGGGCTTGATCAGACCGAGCACTAGCCCATTTTCGTCGCCTGTTTTGTTAGTGAGGAAGAAGGATGGGACCTGGCGCTTCTGCACAGATTATCGGGCTTTGAATGCAGCTACAGTGAAGGATCGCTTCCCCATTCCGACAGTTGATGATATGTTGGATGAGCTTCATGGATCCCGCTATTTCTCAAAGCTGGATCTGCGGGCAGGTTATCACCAGATCCGGATGCAGGAGGAGGATGTCCATAAGACGGCGTTTCGCACTCATAACGGGCACTATGAGTACTTGGTGATGCCATTCGGATTGTGCAATGCGCCGTCCACCTTCCAGGCAGCCATGAACGAGATTTTTCGGCCCCTACTGCGCCGGTATGTCCTGGTTTTCTTCGATGATATCCTGATTTACAGCCCTTCTTGGGCAGATCATTTCGCTCACTTGCAGGCAGTATTCGAGGTTCTACGGGCAAATCAGTACTATATCAAGGCATCCAAGTGCGAGTTCGGGGTGCAGGAGGTGGAGTATTTGGGTCACATGGTGACTCCGCAGGGTGTGAAGGTGAACCAGACCAAAATTCAGGCCATGGTAGACTGGCCGGTTCCCACGACGGTGACTGAGTTGCGTGGTTTTCTGGGTCTGACCGGGTATTACCGGAAGTTTGTGCAGGGGTACAGCATGATCGCCCGGCCATTGACGGACTTACTGAAGAAAGGGGGGTTTGTCTGGTCACCAGCAGCGGAGGCTGCATTTCAGCGGTTGAAGCAGGCTATGACGACCACTCCGACTCTAGCCATGCCGGATTTCTCCAAGCCATTTGTGATCGAGGCGGATGCATCGGGCCGGGGAATAGGGGCGGTGTTATCTCAGGACCGCCATCCCATTGCCTTCATGAGCAAGACGCTAGCCCCCTCCAAGGAGGCTTGGTCTACGTATAAGAAGGAGATGCAGGCGATTATTACTGCAGTGCAGACCTGGCGGCCATACCTCCTGGGGCAGAAGTTTCACATCTACACCGATCATCAGAGCTTGAAGCACCTCCTCGAGCAGCGGGTGTCTACTCCGGATCAGCACAAGTGGGTATCGAAGCTGCTAGGCTACGACTATGAGATTCACTATCGACCGGGGCCCACTAATGTGGTGGCGGATGGGCTGTCGAGGAAGCCGGGCAGCGAGATCCTCGCTGCAGTGACAGGGCCTGTTCCGCAGTTTTGGGATGAGTTACGGGCATCCATGGAGACCAGTCAGTACTTGCAGGAGTGCCGGGAAATCGCAGTGAGCGATAACCCGGGTCATTATTTATTTCGGCAGGGGCTGGTGACGTTCAAGGGTCGAGTAGTTCTTCCTCCTGGCTCGAACCTGGTCACTTCGGTACTTCAGGAGTTCCATGACTCTCCGTTGGGAGGGCATTCCGGCGCCGAGAGGACGCTCCGCAGGATTAAGGGCCATTTCTACTGGCCCAGGATGGCACAGGCAGTGCGAGACTATGTGGAGTCATGCGATACATGCCAGAGAGTGAAGTTGTCTTACCTGCGACCCGCCGGCCTTCTACAGCCGATGCCGATCCCGGAACGGGTATGGGAAGACATCAGCATGGACTTCATAGTGGGGTTGCCTCCTTCGGGTGGGAAGACGGTTTTGTTCGTAGTAGTGGATCGGCTCACGAAGTATGCTCATTTTATGCCCTTGGCACACCCGTACACGGCGAAGATGGTGGCCGAGCAGTTTGTCCTGGGAGTGGTGCGCCATCATGGATTCCCCAGGTCTATTGTCAGTGATCGCGACCCGGTTTTCTTGAGCAGGTTTTGGCAGGAGGTTTTCGCCATGGCACGGACTGTACTACGCATGAGCTCGGCATACCATCCGCAGACTGATGGACAGACGGAGATAGTTAACAAGTACCTGGAGCAGTATCTCAGGTGCTTTACCCACCAGCAGCCGCGGCAGTGGCTGGCTATGCTCCCTTGGGCAGAATTGTGGTATAACACCACATTTCACAGGTCTATTAAGATGACTCCGTTCGAGGCGCTGTATGGGAGATCACCCCCGACGTTGGTACAGTACAGAGGCGGGTCGAGCTCGGTGGATGCGGTGGACAAGTGGTTGAGCGCGCGAGATGAAGCTCTGGAGCAGTTGAGGACTAATTTGGCTGCAGCGTCCAACAGGATGAAGCAGGCCGAGGATGCAGGGCGGCGGGAAGAGGAGTTTGAGGTGGGAGACTGGGTTCTGTTGAGGTTGCACCCCTACCGGCAGTCCTCGGTTTTCAGGCGGGCATACCAGAAGCTGGCAGCTAGGTACTTCGGGCCGTACGAGATCATCCACAAGGTTAACCCAGTTGCTTATCGCCTACAGCTGCCTGCAGGTTCGCGCATACACCCGGTGTTCCACATTTCCTTGCTGAAGAAGTACCGGGGCCAGGCGGACAGGGTGACGTCGACGGCTCCTCCGGTAACCGCAGATGGTGACTTGGAGCTCGTTCCTCTCAAGGTACTAGAGACCCGGTGGACAAAGAGAGGAGGGCGGCTGGTGGAGGAGAGCTTGGTGCAGTGGAAGCATGTGGAACCGGACGATGCTACTTGGGAGGAGTCAGAGGTGCTGCGTCAGAGATTCCCGGCTTTCGACATCGAGGCCGATGTCGATTCTGAAGGGGGAGGGGATGTAGGAAACCCGATTCCTGGTTAGGAGGGAGAGGGCCGGTCGGCCAAAGAGGGGGAGGGAAGGAGTGGCAAACTTGTTATTTTGTGCTATTTCGGTTTACACTACTTAAGGACGCATTTCATTAGTTTTGGGGAATTAAGCAATAATAAACAGAAACTATCAAATCCCTAATCTCTATTCTCTCTCTTGTTCTTCCCCAATTCTCCAAATCCCTAATTTCTGCTCTTCTCAATCCCTAATATCCCAATTGGGAATTCTTGTGTTCTACACCTACAGACGTTACAACTTTAATGAAACATGACAGAAATGAAGACTCCAGTAGCATATGACGAAAATATAAAGTCTCGACATTCTCAAAGGAGGTTTTAATCCACAGCAAAAGTTCGCTCGCAACACAAAAAGATGGAGGAAGAGAGGCTACAGCTAAACGTCTATCCTAAACTTCGAAGCCCCTTAGGCAGCGGATTGGGCTGCAGCAGCCCTCTTCCTGGCTTCCTCGATGATTGACAGCTTGATTCCTTTACCCTTGGGAAGGGACACCCAGGGCTTGGTTCCCTTACCGATCGTAAACACATTCCCCAAGCGAGTAGCGAACTCATGTCCCATGGAGTCCTGTATATGGACGGTTTCAAAACTACCTTTATGTTTTTCACGGTTCTTGATGACGCCCACACGCCCTCTATTCCTTCCACCAGTAACCATCACAACATTACCAACATCGAATTTGATGAAATCCGCAATCTTGCTGCTCTCCAGATCAAGCTTGATGGTGTCATTAGGCTTGATGAGTGGATCTGGGTAGCGGATCGTTCGCCCGTCAAAAGTGTTCAGATACGGGATTCCTTTCTGGCCGAATTGAATAGTTCTCACCTTGCAAAGCTTAAACTGCACAGCATTAAAACAAAGAGCACATATATCAGTGGCAATTTCAACACATTGTAATCAAGAAACTAAAATGCAGCTATAGTGCAGGAATAATTAACCTTGGACTCTTCATCCCGGATGGAGTGCAGACGAAAGCGACCCTTTGTGTCATAAAGCAATCGGAAATTCTCATTGGTCTTTGGGATCGAAACAACATCTGGTTTAGTTAAAGGAAAGTCGGGGACTCAATGTCAGTTAAAAAGGTACCGGTGACATCATGCAAATCAAGTAGAACACAGAAAGAAGAACATATAAGAGGAGAAGAGGGACACAGAGGAAATATATAGCTTTGCAAGGCTCACTATTTTATACCAATCAAAAGGGTTCAACTTGCCTGAACTTTCAAGTACTAAGAGCGGAGCACAGGAAAACAGAAGGTTTTGACTCTCAACTCCCTACAGAAGGAAAAGAACCTAAAACCATCAATAAGCATTTTGTGACACTGCACCAGGCTCCCTAATCGAGTCGGATTCCCGGCTGCAAGTGATTCCTTACAAGTGACTTCAATCTGATTCATGACACCAGAATTTCTTCACCAACGTTTCCATCAGTACCAATTTAAGTATATTTGAAAGAAAACAGTTGTCTTTAAAAGCATCTAGATTTCCATTTGCTGACATAAAGCTATTACCAATTATAGAAGACCACACTGAACAGCAACTGAACCTACAGTTACCATAATATAACTGATGGAAATTGTAGGTTGAGTCAGCTCTCTCCCCAATTTCATGATACATAAGAATTTCTTCTCAAGTATTCCTATCACTACCAATTCTAGTCCCATTTTAAAAGAACGAATTCTTTACTTCTCTTTACAATCATTACCCGTTCCATTAACAATCAAACAATGCCCTTTCGATCAGCAAAATAACAAACGCCGGATTCAACCTCTCTATAGAAGAAACGTTTCAATTGAGACATAAACTAAGACATACCCATGAAACCAGCAGGGAATTTCTTATCAGTCCTGACTTTGTGATCCACCATTACATGTCGCTGCATCAGAATAGCGATCACCTCACGGTAAGTAAGTGCATACTTCAGACGATTTCGGAGAATCAGAACCAGCGGCAGGCACTCCCTCGACTTGTGAGGTCCAGACGACGGCTTCGGAGCCTAATCAATGGAGGAAAACCAATAAAAAAATCATCAAATCACTAAAACAGGTTTATAACAAAAAAGAAACGAAGAAGAGAGAGAGAGCCATACGAAAGCGCCGCCAAGCTTGTCGAGCATCCAATGCTTCGGGGCATTGAGCCTCTTCAAATGCTTCTTCAGCCCTCGAGCCTGTTACGTTTTCGCCACAAAAAAAAACAACATTGGCTTAAATAATAGCGGAATCGAAGGAAGAAAATGAATCATAGAACAAAACGAGGAAAATGTAGCTCACCATAGTGGAAGTTAAACAAGACGACGGCTGCTGGCGGAGGATTAGTGTTGGGGGTTTGCTTTCTGATTCTTGGCTCCAGCGGCAGTCGAAACTGGTGAAAGAAGAGAATCAGAACCCTAATGGCTAATGCTCTGTTCGGGGGTTTTATATTAAGTTGTTTATTTAGGCCACAAAATTCCCAAACATGCTGGGCCAAGCCCACCGTGCTTCACCGGAATGCAACAGCTAAAAGCCATCATCTTGGGCCAAGCACATCCTGTTCTACCAGTCCCAACATATTCGGTATCTTAATCGGTGCCCTCATATCCGAAATTAATTGTCCTGCAATTAATAATTAAATATTAAATAATGATTACAACATCCCGACTCTTGAAAAAATTTATACAGTGTAGATTTACAGTTTTAACTTCAGTGATTGAAAATTTCGATAATTAGAATTGGATGTGAGAAAATTATAATTAAAACTAATCAAAGTCTTCATTGATTAGATTCAATCAAGTCTCATTAAGCATAGTCATTATAGGTTCCCATTGAGCATTTGGAGAAAGAGATTAGAAAAAGGGTCTTGTGTTTGTCTTGACGGGAACGGATCAGGTCAATAATCTTATGTTGAGTAACTATCAGTACCCATCCACATCAGCATGACATTAGCATCCCTCTCTCCTGGAAAATCTTTAATTTTTCCCTCCTTAATCTTTGACGGACGATTTCTCACTCGTTTTAAGTCGAAATTTTTTTTTTTTTTTTGCACAGTTAGATCAGAATAATTGTGCTCTTCAAAATGATATCCACTTTGATATATTTTTCGAACAAAAAAAATTGAGCCATTTTTTACTAGTCTATACCATATGGTATTGACTGGTATTGAAATAAGAGCATACCTATGGTCTGAAAATGTACCATGGTGGTATGAACAAACCAAGACTGTAGGATGGTTGAATACATGATAGCAGAAGTATATTAACTGTCATTTACGACTTTTAACATTGTGTACCACAAGATACCACCCCGTACCAGGGTGGTATTGTATGATATTGTGTGGTATTTTTTGGTCTTGTAATTTGTTCACCCAGAAATTTGTAGATCCAATAGATCATGATGAACTCATTCCTTCTGTGCAAACGTTTTCAAAAGCGAATTAAAAACGAAGAAGATACCATATGGTATGCAGTTGGTACCGAGAGCACAACGAACACGTTCCATCTATGCAAAAAAAAAAATTAAACATCGAGTCAAAACGAAGCTAGAAAATTAAACATCGAGCCGATTAAGAAAGCTAGAAAAAATAAAAATGGTCTTTAATTCTCCATCCTTAGATCTGGATTTTCTAAATAAAGAGTCCAGATTTAGTTATTGATGGGTGCATAACCCATGGTTATGCACCCTATCTTGAGCCTGAGTTTGCCTACAGCTAATACATGGGTTCTGTTGGTAATCTGAATAGGTCCAGTTCTTGCCCAGAGTGCTTGCAGACGCTTCGCTACTACAGGGTAAGGGTATGTCCTTCCCAGGACCTTCACCATTAGAGCAGAACGCCACTCCCTCCTATATTTTCTAACCTCAGCTACAGTGAAAGGGATTGTAGGACACTTTGGATCGTCGTTCATCGGGACTGAATAGTCCTCGTCGTCCTCCCTTATTGCCTCCATTACATCTTCACCATCAGAATCTTCCACGTACCATGCAGTGTCTTGTACTATTTCGCTGAACGTCTTTTTCTTCTCATTGCCCCACACCGATTGGGTTACGGGAATAGGTGTTTCCTTGGTACCCTCATCACTGGTTTTGGCAGGCTCTGCCTGCGTCTTCGGCTCGTCGATCACGATTGGTATCGTGCTTTGTGCTGCGCTACTGGATGCTTTCACCGCATTCAGCTCTTCCTCAGTGCAATCCTCAACAATCACCTCCTCCATGTTGATGGCCTCATCCGATAGATCTAGGGCACGCCTTTTCTTCGGATGTTGAGCTTCCCGTTCTTTCTTGCCGTCCGGTGACGAGGTCTCCTCGGAGGGTCGTCGTGTTCCGGCAGTCAGATCAGGTGGTTTTGCTTCCCCCGCCGGGGCGGAGTCAGCCGGCGAACCCGTCGCCGTCATGGTATTGTCGCAGTGCGCCTATGCAAACCCTAGTCTCTAGTTTCGCGCTCCGGGTTTTGCGGAGCTTCTTTTTTTCCTTAAAAAAGGGATAAGGAGATGATGATATATTAATTTCTTTTATTGGTAATCTTTAATTCGATAGATTGAAGGTTGAGAGATAACAAATGAGAGTGTATGCATTTTGTGTGTTATATTTAATTAATTTTCAAATTTTCCCATTTTTTGTATCGGTATATAGTATATACCAATCAGAATCTCCTAATGCGAAATACCGAATACCATTCCAAAATGAATCTCAATCGTGAAAAATAATTTTGTATTCTGTTAGACCATATAGTGATAAATTGAGTACAATATTGGGTATATCTAATAAATCAGTACCAAATTTCCAGTCCTAGGTTTAAGAGAATTGTTTTTTCGAACTAGATTAGTGATGACTCCGTTGCCTGAATAAAAGAAAAAAATTAATAATAATACTTATTTTATATCATTAATATTGAGAAAGTAAAATTTATTTATCTCTACGGATTATAGGTATAATATGCCCCTCTACTATGACGTTTTATCAAACATGCCCCTCTACTATTTTTACATCAAATATGCCCCTGTACTTTGAAAAAATTATCAAACACGCCCTTCTGTTAAAATTTCCATTGAAAAAATCGTCAATCATGGTTGAACCGATATTTAGACGACCCGACATCGGCAAATGGGAGGAAAAATATCAGTTTTGTCCCCTGTTTTATTTCTTTGGGTCTTTTCAAAGTGAAATTCTTTGAATGATTTGATTATACGAAAGAACCAAAAAAATTCTATAGTGAAATTTTCAGGGATATTTTAGTCATTTGTGTCGCCCAAACTAAATTTCGGCATTGGTTAATCGTTTTTGGATGAAAATTTTAACAAAAGAGCATGTTTGATCATTTTTACAAAGTACAGGGGCGTGTTTGATGTAAAAAATAGTAGAGGGGCATGTTTGATAAAACGTCATGATAAAGGGGCATATTATATCTATAACCCTATCTCTACAGTAGTACAATAATAAAATAAAAGAATGTGAAGATTTTATGATTGGTTGGACACTTTTTGCTATTAATTATTATGATATATCTTAACTTTTTATTTCAAATCGTATGAATACTATCTAGATGATTTATTCATTGAAAATAAGGAATAAAAATCCACGTAGGTATGATTCAAATGTTTGAATGAAAAGTCACTCAAAAGATCGAATCTATTATGTCGTGATTGAAAATAATACAAAATTCTAATAGTGTTTTACACATATATATATATATATAATAACATACCATTGTTGTTTAATTTGATACATTATTCTCTTTCATAGATGGATAGCCAAGTAATTATAAATAGTTAACTTTTTATTTTTATCCGATTATGTACATTTTGGGACTCAATTGAAAAAGAATTTATTTTATATTTTCTTATTCATAACAGCAGAAGGTGAAAATTGAGTTCGGGAGTACACAGTGTCACACCCTATTCATCACAATTTTAGGCACTAGCTTATAACTGTTCTGTTAGTCAAAAATTTTATATTTTAATATTTATATTCATGTTCATATTTTAATATTTATATTTTTATATTATGTTTAAGTCTATTAATTCGTTTAAGTTTATTGAAAATTATTCAATTGAGATGTTACATAAAGAATGAATATATAGGTCGAACTTTCAGGGAAATACCCTCCTCATTTAAGAATATAAAAATGTATCATTAATTCCATTTTCATAATGATAATTGAGCCCCCATTAAAATGATATTAGTTCATAGATTGTCTAGAAATATATAATATAAAAGCTCATTGGAATTCCCACACGATCCAAAGATAGTTTGAAACTGAAATAAAACCTCACAATCCCACATAAATGGTTCAAAGCTCTCCTCTATGAATAACATGCCACTAATAAAAAAAAAGGATTTATAACAAAAAAAAAAACAGAAATGAAGAGTTATTGATTCAAGTAAATTATATGCTAACAACTCAACTAAAAGGAGACCATTAAAACTTGAGAGCAAATGACAAAATTAGAGTTACATCCAATATACTAATAGACTCGATCAAAGTAATGAGGCACAAAATTAGACATTCCTTATCTATAGGTTCCAGTAGTTTGAATAGTGAATCGACCTTAACTTTAGTAAATCAATCAATGATTCCTCGTTTTAACATAAACATAGGTTGTGGTAGTTGCAACAACCATAACACCTAAAGATCCAATAGTTTCCACTCTCTGTTGTACAACCAACTTTTTATCCCCTCCATCTTCAATCTCTCGACGTATATGTTTTAAACCAAAATTCAATTTCTAATCTTCCTTATGCAATTCCATTTATGCTACTTTTAAGGACCTTCTCTCCATGAACCTGAATTTCTCTTTCATTGAGTTTCTTGTCAGCTTGATCTCCAACTCCTCAATCCTCTTTCTTGTATTTGGCCAACTCACCTTCCTCGGGACAGTTTTAATAAGCTCGTAAAACCAACACTCATCTTCAATTCCATCAATATGCTCTTCTCCTACTTCTCTACCTTCACCTCATCCAGTTCACTTCCATGCCCTTCAATATCCTCTCCATTTTCATTAATATCATGATCATCTACCACTTCTCTCTCTTCAACTACTCCGATTTTGCTTCTATATCTTTCAATACCCTCCTTGGTTCAATCACTACCCTGACCAACTGCCTCTTCACCGCCTTCACTTGCTGCAAACTACTTCCATGAGTTTTTTATACACCTTCCTCAAAATTACAATCAACTAACCAATGTCAATCCATGGCCTTGGATCAGTTTTAAACTTTGCATGAACATCTCAATACCAAAAAGTCTAAATCTAAATATTCTTTCAGTTAATCATGAACTTGAGTTTATCAAAATCTAATCCACTCCTTCTAAGTTGGAAATCCCATCCCTCAAGTTCATTTTTGGTTCATTTGATCCCACATAACCATGATATTATACCTCGAACTAAAATAAATCAAAAACATTTTACGAAAAGAAACCGAACCACGAGCTTTACCTGCTACCAAATCCAAACACAATTTCTTCCTCTCACCACTTCCCTTCCCAAACCCAATATCAACTTTTACTCCAAGTTCACACCCCCAACTCCCACTGTGTTGCGTGAAAGCTTAATTTTAGGAATCATTATGCTTGTAATTAGATTAATAGATACCAGCAAGCGCCAAAATTCCACCAGACGATGAGTTGTCTTCACTTTGAGTTTTGTCATAAAACTGCTGGCCCGATATGTTTATCAGTTTGGAGGTCATATGATGAGCAATACCGAATAATTTGCTGCGAAGTTACCGGTCACAGTAATGACAATGTGAAACATGTGTTAACAAACGCGAATATGGGTTACTTATATGGATTGACATTAGAATGATGGGATTGGACAATGAGATCGTCCTTAGTTAAGCGACATGTAAATTGGTTCATTTGGTGTGGAGAACACAAACCTTTAAAATTCTAAATTATTTGGGTGAGTTTATATTTAGTGTTTTCAAAATCGTGGTATATGAGTTAAGTGATTAAAATATCTAAACTCAAACAAACCGACCCGCGTACACCCCTAGGAAGAGTTTCATAACTTAGTATTTAACTGGACAAAAATGTTCAGAGAACCAGTCCCCTATAGTTTGCACAAAGATATGATTGCTTCACTATAGTTCTGAAAATTAATGGTAATTTAAGAATTCTATATAACTTATAACTGGTCCGTTAGTCAAAATGTTCATATTTTAATATTTATATTTATGTTCATATTTTAATATTTATATTTTTATATTATGTTTAAGTCTATTAATTCATTGAAGTTTATTGAAAATTATTCAATTGAGATGTTACATAAAGAATGAATATATAGGTCGAACTTTCAGGGAAATACCCACTTCATTTAAGAATATAAAAATGTATCATTAATTCCATTTTCGTAATGATAATTGAGCCCCCATTAAAATGATATTAGTTAATAGATTGTCTAGAAATATATAATATAAAAGCTCATTGGAATTCCCACACGATCCATAGATAGTTTGAAACTGAAATAAAACCTCACAATCCCACATAAATGGTTCAAAGCTCTCCTCTATGAATAACATGCCCTAATAAAAAAATGGATTTATAAAAAAAACAGAAATGAAGAGTTATTGATTCAAGTAAATTATATGCTAACAACTCAACTAAAAGGAGACCATTAAAACTTGAGAGCAAATAACAAAATTAGAGTTACATCTAATATACTAATAGACTCGATCAAAGTAATGAGGCACAAAATTAGACATTCCTTATCTATAGGTTCCAGTAGTTTGAATAGTGAATCGACCTTAACTTTAGTAAATCAATCAATGATTTCTCGTTTTAACATAAACATAGGTTGTGGTAGTTGCAACAACCATAACACCTAAAGATCCAATAGTTTCCACTCTCCGTTGTACAACCAACTTTTTATCCCCTCCATCTTCAATCTCTCGACGTATATGTTTTAAACCAAAATTCAATTTCTAATCCTCCTTATGCAACTCCATTTATGCTACTTTTATGGACCTTCTCTCCATGAACCTGAATTTCTGTTTCAATTGAGTTTCTTGTCAGCTTGATCTCCAACTCCTCAATCCTCTTTCTTGTATTTGGCCAACTCATCTTCCTCGGGGCAGTTTTAATAAGCTCGTAAAACCAACACTCATCTTCAATTCCATCAATATGCTCTTCTCCTCCTTTTCTACCTTCACCTCATCCAGTTCACTTCCATGCCCTTCAATATCCTCTCCATTTTCATTAATATCATGATCAGCT